GAAATCCGCCTGCCTCTGCCTCCCAAGTGCTGGGATTAAAGGCGTGCGCCACCACCGCCCAGCTTAAAGTAACTTTCATTCATCCATTTCTTCCTTTCCTCTTTCTTTCCCCCTTTTCATTCCCTTTTTCTTTTCCCTTCCCTTTCCTTCCCCTCCCCTTTCCTTTTTTCTTTTTCCTTCTTCTTTCCCTTCCCTTTCCAATTTTAAATTTTTTTTGAGTCAGGGTTTCTCTGTGTAGCCCTGGTTGTTCTGGAACTCACTCTGTAGACCAGGCTGGCCTCGAACTCAGAAATCCGCCTGCCTCTTGTTTTATGTGTGTTAACTTGTTTTGTCCTCATGTATGTATGTGCACCATCCTGTCTGGAGTGCTGTGACCAGAAGAGAGTTTTGGATCTCCTGGACCTGGAGTTAGAGATGGTTGCGAGCCATCATGTGTGTGGTGGGAACAGAATCCTAGTCCTTTGAAAGAGCAACAGTGTATGTAACCACTAATCCATCTCTCCAGTCCCCACCCTTTTAATTTAAAGGTTTTTATATTTTTATGTGTGTGAGCGTTTCCCCTGAATGTGAGTCTGTGTGTGGACTGCCCACAGAGGTCAGTGGAGGCCATAAGAACCCTGGGAACTGATGAGTGGAGACGTCAGTGCTGGGTTCTGAACCTCTGTAAGAGCAATAAGTGCTCTCTCTCCGTCCCAGACTTTAGGAATTGAAGGAAAATGCCTCTCGATATACTACTGTCACCACAGTGAAAAAAATAAAAAAATAAAAACCTAAAAGGGACCAGAAGCCTGTTACACAGATGAGTCTAATGAGATCCGTTGGAAAGAACTGCAGTTGGAAAGAACTAGTTAGCAGCAAGGAATAAGTGGGCCATGATTGAAGGATTCATGAAGGCTGGGATGATAATGAAATTGAAGAGACATGCTGCTCAAAAAACAAAAACAAGCCAGGCGGTGGTGGCGCACGCCTTTAATCCCAGCACTTGGGAGGCAGAGGCAGGTGGATTTCTGAGTTCGAGGCCAGCCTGGTCTACAGAGTGAGTTCCAGGACAGCCAGGGCTACACAGAGAAACCCTGTCTCGAAAAACCAAACAAAAAACAAAACAAAAAAACAAAAACAAAGCTGAAGGAGATAAGATGGTTCAGGGGTCAGAGGGGCTTGCTATTGAGTGATAATCTGATCCTTGAATGTCAGGGCGCTTGAGCATGTGTGCATGCACAAGGATGCATACATATACACGTACACATGTAAAAATGAGACCTATAAATACTCCATAGATTTAGGGTAGGGTCGTGTGTGTGTGTGTGTGTGTGTGTGTGTGTGTGTTTGTGAATAGACAACATAGATCAATGACAGAAGTCTCTGACTGAGCCTGAGCTTGCTAGTTTGGCTAAACTGGATGGCCAAAGCCCAGGGTTCTTTTTGTCTCTGCCTTTTCAGGATTATAGATGTTTGGGATCTAAACCAGATTTTTATAATTGCACGCAGAGCAATGATTTAACCACTGAACCATCTATCTTAGTTAGGGGTACTGTGGTGAAACACCGTGACCAAAGGCAACTTGGGGAGGAAAGGGTTTCCTTCACTCAGAGTTCCACAGAACAGTTCATCACAAGCAGTGAGGACCAGAACTCAAGCAGGGCAGAAAGGCAGGAGCTGATGCAAAGGCCACGGAGGGGTGCTACTTGCTGGTTTGCTTCCCATGGCTTCCTTAGCCTGCTTTCTTCAAGAACCTAGGACTACCCCTTTAGGAGAAGTACTCACAATGGTCTGGGGCCTCCCCCATCAATCACTAATTAAGAAAATGCCCTACAACCAGATCTTCTGGAGGCATTTGCTCAATGAAGTTTTCTCTTCTCTCATGACTCTTCCTTGTGTCAAGTCAACAGAAAACAGGCACAAGTGCCAAATGCAGGCTTTCTTAAATTTGGGTATGAGAAATTTTAATGTGGCCCAGGGAATAGAAGAATGTAAGGCAGGTAAGCAAATTAAACAGTTACTAATAAATCATAAGTGTATTTATTTTTAAAAATTACTCTGTGCAGGTCTGGGTGGGTCGTGCACATGTGAAGCTCAGAGGATAAATCTGTGGAATTGGCTCTCTCCTGCCTTTATGTGGGTTTCTAGGCCCAGACTCAGGTCACCAGGCTTGCAGAGGCAAGCTTTTTTTTTTTTTCAAACCTGCTGAGCCATCTCTCAGATCTCATAAAAACACCAAGAAAGCAGGGCTTTGGTGGCTCATGCCTGGAATCCTACCACTTGGGAAGGTGAGGCAGATCTTTTGAGTTTGAAGTCAGTCTGGTCTACAGACTGACCTGTCTCCAAACAAATTCCTTAAGCAAGCCTAAAGTTGTCAGGTGTAACAGAAACACAAGACATGGGTGGATAATGCTGTTTAGGTTATTAAATGAGAGTTTCCAATGGTGGGACATCTCCTGAGTTGTCTGTCAGAGAGACCAACAATACATCCTACTGCTACTGTTCTTAGTTGCCCTCCAGAGCTAGATGGTGAAACCCTATTGCTGAAGATACCATACTCTGGTTACAGGCCATAGAGAAATCAGGCTGAAACTGAGCTGGAAGCTTCCTCCTTGCTGGCTGACTTTAATAATGCCAGAAAGTGCTATGCAGGCTACTTGGGGAGACAAGCTTCTATGAGTACATACAATTACCAACCTGCCAGGTAACATGTGCAGGAGTGCTCCAACTATTATGGGAGCAGCCAACTGCTTTTGGACTGGATTTGAGGCTCACTTCCTAGGAGAGATTCATGTCAAGTACTGTAAACCTGGCCAAAAGCCCATGGATGGACAGTCTAGGGCCTAGTAAAAAACCCACTGCTACAGCTAAACGGACAGGCCATCAAACTGCCTTATAAATATTTATACTTATAGATTAGTGCTGACTTCAGCCTTGGTTAAAGAAGCTGTTTTTGTTGTAATGGGTAATGATTGACAGAGTCACAACTGGTCAAAGTGCTCAAAATAAGTGACTATTGAACTCTACTAGGGCATCTCTGTATTACCTCCTTCAAGGTTCAAAGAACATCTTGGAATGGGGGGAGGGTGTCGAAAAACTGTAAGAGCCAGAGGATAGGGAGAAGTAGCATGAAATGCAACATCTTCTGGGCATGTCATGGCTCTTGTGCCCATGACCAACAGCAACAGTGGTCACCTGGACAGGACTGGAGCCATCAGAATTCCACCATGAACGAGGAAGGAGCTCATGAGGCCCTGCCTTCCAGTCTCTGAGGATCATGGGACAGTTGTGGTTGCTGGGGGAGAGGGAGCCATATTTCTCAGTGCTGTTGCTACTAGGAAGTTGCCCTTGCCCAAGCAACTCCCAACTCAGGCTTATGCAAGTAACCCTAATTAAAAAAAAAAATGTAGGGGAACACAATGATGTGCCAGAGGGGGGGTGATAACCTAGGGGAGGCTGCCCCCTTTTCATAGGAGGGGAGAAGAAAGAATGGGGGGAGGAGCTGTGTATGTGTTTGTGGGGGGAACTGGGAAGAGAGAAGGGGCTGATATTGGAATATAAAGTGAATAGATAAATAGTAAATAAAAAAATAACAAATAAACTCAGTTTTAGTGAACTTTTTAAGAAGTAGTAAGGGGGACTTGATGAGAAGACAAGTTTGGTAGGAGAGTAAGAGATTAAGATGATAATGTAGGGGGTGGTTTATGGTCAAAGTGCAAATTGTGAAAGAACCATTTTCAAAAAGAAATAAAGGACAGTGTAAGAAAAACATTAAGAAAACAACAGTGAAAAATATGGTGGGGGTGGGGAGAACACTGGCTGATTACAAGGTTCCCTTCAAATACTGGAGGTCAGGCCTCTGTCCCTGCCTTCACAAGATTAGAATCGCCACAGCCCTTCTATACGTAGAGAAGGGAGGAGATGTCAGGGGCAGCCCTGCTTACACACTGAAGGCCTAAAATCAGCCATAGGCCTAAAATCAGCAATAGGCCTGTCATACATGTATACTAACACCAAGTCTTGGGTCTCTGTGGAAAAACATTGAAATAGATGGCTATAAGCTAATGTAAACAGACAGCTTTTGTGGAAATTTAAAAGCCTGAGTAGTCACAGACCTTGTAAATATGTAGCCTTGGCAGACAAAATCAACTTAGATAAGGACAAGCGAGTCGTAGGCAGAGTCATAGTGACCTGTCCCCTGAACCTTCACCCAGCCGATACCCGGTTCTGATGATATCTGTATTCCCCCTGAACACCCACACTCCAGTGTCATTCCCTTCCCCCACATCCTGGCTTTCTGTGTTTATAACCCCTGTGTGAATGAATTACGATTTGAGAAAAAATAAATTATTAAAAAACAAAAAACACTGGCTGTTCTTCAGGAGGACCCTGCTTGATTCCAGCAAGCATGGAACAGCTCACAACTGCTCCATCCGGAATCCAATGCCTTCTTCTGGCCTCCACAGGCGCCAGGTATGCATATGGTACGCAGACATACATTCAGGCAAAACACCCTATACTATACACATTAAAACAAAAACAAAACCCCCCAAAAATTCCACACTTGTTATTTAAAAGAAAATATCCAGCTAAATGCGAATTTCAGATAAAGTGCAAATTCTTCTATAAAAGTAGGTTTTGTGGAATATTCGGGATGGTATATAGGTTTTGTAAAGTTAACTAACATTTATCTAGTTACACTAGGGTAGACAGTTTGCCAGAGCCAGTCTGGGAGGTACCTACTTAAACTGATATCATATGAGTTTTGGGTCAACTGGGAATGCCTTTATCTTTTGGAGAAATGCGTTAATTCTGTTTGTTTTTGACATGGTCTCACTATGCAGACCAGGCTGGGCTCAAACAGATCCTCTTACTTGCATGCTGGAGCTAAAGACGTGTACCGCCATGCTGGCTAGAATACACATCACCTGAATATATCTTTAGGGAAAGCCTAAGAAGGAAGTTTGATTTCCATCACTTGTCCTAGTATCTACTGATAGGTTTTACTTTAATCAAAAAAGTAAAGACAAAAACCATTTTATTTAGCAAGACTGAAATTAAATCCAAGATATAAGTATATTCACATGTTGTCTGAAACAAATCCTGGAGCTATTAACCCAAGGTAATTTATCTAGTAGTATCATTTATGGAATAATTAATATAACAAGAATAATTTCTCAGTTATAAAGGCTCATTAATGCCCTTGGGGCACACTGAAAATAAATTGCTTTAACTATTCAATCACCACTTTACACAGAAGTAGAGATAAAAAGGAATGGAGTACAAACACATGATTGCCCATTACAGCTTTTATAAGGAAACAAACTGGCTAGAACCCCACTGAAGACAACGAAGTAAAGTTCACAGACAGAGTAGCTATTGTCCAGGTACAGTTTATCAAAGTCCAGCTGACGACAGACCAGGTCAGTAAGCACGGCTATCTCACCTTCACAAGATACACAGCCCCACAGATCGTTTACGAAACGATCCCCTTTTCAGAGTACTTCATTGCTCGGCCTCATGCAGTGGCTCCCTCCTCCTCCTCCTCAGTACCCACATTGAGTCCTCCACACCTATTTTTTAGTTATATAAAAATTATTAAACTTAGGCTTCCTTACAAACATATATTGAACCATATATTGAAAAGTGATTAAAAACTGTATGGAATATGAATTGCTTCTGCAACATTTAGTGAGTGAGAAGCATGCCACCAGGGTGGCTGTGCCCTGGGAAAGTCCTAAAAACTCAATTTTACAAACAGTTTTTTATTTTGACAGAAGTTCTACTTAAAAATAGCAGCCATGACTCCACTGCCTACAAAACTGCAGGCTTATCACATTTTATGTTTAGAATTCAAATGCTTTACAATCAGATTTTATAGTATTACAAAAAACAAGGTCACAAAGACATGGACTAGGTATCTCATGCTAAAAGACATCTGAGATCCATGATTTTACTGCTGTGACAGATACCAACAGCTACTGAATTTATGTCATGACATGAGGACATTTATGTTTTGTTAAAGAGGTGACATTAAAGGGTGGGGAGCCAGCAGTTGCAGCAGGACTTTCTTGTGGCTCTTTGTGGTGGGGGATGAGCTAGCATATCAGAACGTTAGTCACAGGGACTCTCAGGCCAGGAGGGTACTGTATGGCGGGACACCCTCACTCCTGCACTGACCCCACTGAAATAGTGTTCTCTGACGTTCATGTAGAAGAGAGGATGCTGGGTACAGCATGTTGCTCTCAACAAGTGATTAGCAGCAACAAATGGGAGAAAGAGGAGTTGGTTTGGGGGGGGCACTTTTGCAAAAGCCTTTGAGCACATTAAAATGTCCTTTCCAGGAACATTTTGTAGTTTGTACACAGTGAGGACAGAGTTAGTGGTTGGAGAAATTTCAGTCTGAGGAGTCAGGACAGAGAAGGGAACATCCGAAGTCAGCACAATGAACTCTGCCTCTTTCTGGGTGGACTGAATGCTTCCCAAATACTTGACTAGCCTGGTGCCACTTAGGAGCAAACTACTGGCCTTACAAAACCAAAACTGAGTGGGAATTGATGCCAGAAAATAGCATTTATAGTAGTCACCTAAGAGAGAACACCAGGTGCTTTGTGTGTGTGGGAGGATGGGGCAGGGAAGCAGCTAACAAGGCCAAGTCCTAAGCTAGAGCTGGTCATGGCTGCACAGGGTGCTGCCATGTCTGCAAATTAACTGCAGAACTGCCCTCACAAAGGTCTTCTGTGTGCACTCACCCAATGTCAGGATAAAAAAATGCCTTTCTTTCCTATCTGTTCTTCCCATTCTCAATTTCCTAGGGTCACTCAGGGTTTTCCTAACAAGCAATGAAAATCAAAACCCAGGATTCATTGCAGCCCACAGGGCATGGGTATGAACTCTGCCTTGCATCTCTGGAGTTGATTCTCAAGTGGCTGTCTGCTCTCTGGATCTAAAAGCTCTCTTTTTCAGTGTGTCAGACAAACCCCTAGCACAGGCCATAGTAGGCCATAGGCACTACTACTCAGATGTCTACTGGCTGGGCCCTTCCCCTCCACAGTGTTAAGAGCTCTTCAGTGAAGAATCTCCATAATGATAAAGATGTTTGGTCTCAAAAGTATACGTACGCTTACTTAGCCAGATAGTACTACAGTGCTAAGTGCTGTATGGAGCTAAGTCACCAGCTAGTGGAGCACTTGTTTGTTCCCATCTTAATGCTGAGTGCAACTACTGAATACATTATTCAAGAAGAAATCAAATCACAGATCAGGTCAAAGTACTGAAAAGGAGTGTGTGCTGTGACCAAGCCCTGCTGTGGTGAGTCAGCAAACACTAGGGCAGAGTACAGTGTGTAGAAAACCTTGCAAAACCTAGCACCAAGTTCTTCCTAAAAAGGGCTCAAGACAGCTTAACTCTAGAGTAATGCACTCAGTCAAAAAGCCCAGCAGGCAATGCTCTCTGTAGTTGATGGTCCACAGCAGACGGCCCTTCCGTTACGAGCCTCACATGCAGACATTGCCTACATTAGAGGCAAGGGAGAGAACTGTGGAGTACATTTTCCCATGAAGGAAATGAAACCATGAGGAGGCAGCACCACACTCTCCCTCTTCATATGGACAGTATCCTCAGTTAAGTCAGCTTCAACGTGACAAAGTTGGTGTCTGCAGGTCAGAGGTCAAATCTATGGTGTACACACCTTATCAGAAGTCATACAACTTACTTACCTGAATTAAAAATAAACCCAAAATACAATTGTCTATCTGCTCTCCCTTCCCAGAAGGGGGTAAGTTAGAGTCCATTTCTTCCTTTTCTTAACCACAGTAATGAAGAGTCAAGGAAGGTAGTGTGGAAAGGAGAAGCACTCTGTCTCATCTTAAAAAATAAAGATCTCTCTAAGCTGCACAATCAGAGGTTACATACATGTTTTTTTCTTCAATTATCCTTTGTGGTTGCCTCTAGGGGCTCATCTTCGAGGCCAAAGTCCAGCTTGTCACTCAGTCCCTCAAACTGCTTGCCCAGACCACCTGCAGAATCCATAAACATGTTGGGGATGTCTTTGCCGAAGTAAATCTTGCTGTTGGAAGCAATGGCCTTGTACTTCATCAGCTGCAGGTATTCTGGGGTCAGCTTGAGCTGTGATACAAAAGAAGAGAGCTTAGGGGAGATGACCCCAGAGAGGAATTTCATCTGGAGAGGGGATATGTCAAGCAGATATGCGTCTTCCACTTTTCATGGCCTTCCTGTTACCCAGAAATCATTTTTTTCCGAAAGAAAATAATCTAAGCTCTTATGACAGAGTAGCAACAGTTTCAAGAGTTTCCGTGTTTGACACAAACATGAAGCTTCTATTAAGGCCTCCTACACAAGAGGAGTGCCTGTCTCACCTAGCAGAGGCTCCTCAGTCCTGTTGTGAGGGCTCTGGGTAGTGAGCAGCAAAGGCAAGCACATCCTCAGGATGGTGGGTCAGGCCTTTACCTTATTTGCTTCTGCAATCTTCAGAGCAGTGTAGCACTCGGCATCGGCCTTCGCCTTCTCCCGGGCCAGAAATGCAGCATCTAAGGGGTGAAGGGTGCAGGGACTGGATCAAGTACAAAACCATGGGAAGGTACAGAAGCCTGTTGTCTGGGGGCTGGCAATTACAGCTCAGTGGTATAGATAGCACTTGCCCAGCATATGTAAGCCCAGGTTCCATTCCTGGTACTGCAGAAAACAAAAAAGCCAACAAAGACATTTTCTGGTCTCCATGGCCTTGGAGAGATCATTTTTTGTTTTTTGTTTTTTTTTTGTTTGTGTGTGTGTGTGTGTGTGTGTGTGTGTGTGTGTGTGTTTTGTTTCTGAAATGGTCTCACCTTATAGCTAGGCTAGCATTGGACTATGCAGACTTACTGTTAGCACAGAGAAACCATTTCTCTAAAAGAAAGTAATCTGAGATCTTCACAACAGGGTAGCAAGAGTTTCAGTTTACTACAAAAGGACACCTCCACTGCGGTTTCACAGTGTATGGATGTATACTATGTATATGACGCCTCCACTGCGGTTTCTCAGTGTATGGATGTATACTATGTATATGACGCCTCCACTGCGGTTTCTCAGTGTATGGATGTATACTATGTATATGACGCCTCCACTGTGGCTTCATAGTGTATGGATGTATACTATGTATGTGGCATCACCCTGACTCTGCCTTTCCAGTGCTGGGAGTACAAACATATACTGCCATGCATGTCATGGGTCTACCTAAGATTGAATACCACAAATGTCAAATAGCTTAAGACCCTTTCCCCAACGTTCATTTCACTTCCTCAAAGTCTCTAACAGTGATTAAGGTGGCTAGTTCTAGATTTCTGCATGCTGGTCCAGAGGAGCGCTGCTTGGATCCAGACCCGCTCCAGTGCATCATGTAGTAGTGCCCTCCCCGCTCAGCTCTGAGCCCCACGGCCTGGGCATGTGCCAGCCGCACAGTCACAAGGAAATACTCAAGGACACTAGTTGGGGACTCAGGGTTATGGTTGTTTTTGTTTCCTTTCCACCATTTAAAAATATTAAGACCTTGTCATTATTCCATCGCTTATTGAGGAGGGGTGGGGCATGGACAGCAGGGCACGTGAGTGGAGGTGAGAGGACAACTTAGGGAACTCAGGACTCTCCTTCTGTCATGATCAAACTCGGGCTGTCAGGACTGGCATGACTGCTTTTGCTGCTGAGCCATCTTGCTGGCCGGTTGCTGGTGGTTTTGAGACAGTTTGTCTATGTAATCCAGTCATCCCAATAAGGAGGTAAGTACAATGACCCATTTTACAAAAGACTTATTTTTAATTATGTGGATCTGTGTGTAAGTGCAGATGTCTACGGAACCACGAAGTGTCAAGTCCTTCTGGAGTGGGATTTATAGGTGGCTGTGACCTGCACAATGTGTGCACTGGTTACTGGACTCAGTCCTCTGGAAGAGCAATAAACTCTGATAGCGGCTGCGCCTCTCAGCCCCATGACACACATTTACAGGAAATGAAAGCACTGTTTACCAAGAGCTCCCGGGCGAGAGCCCACGGATCTGTGACATCCTCATTTGCAGGGACTCGGTAGGTCCCTGCAAACCCTGCAGGCTCCACAGTGAGTGGATAATTACATGGAACACTGTGGCCCGAAGCTTGCATGGGGATCACTGACAGAAGGCACTACATGAAGCACGGTGACAGTAGTGGGGACGTCAGGGCTCGGGAGGGGACTGTAGGTGAGCAACGGCTGGAAGCTAGTGATCAACACTTCTCAGCTCTAGAGCTGCACGTGCTGGAAAGTGTTGTCACCAAGGCTAACTTAATGTCTGCACTGACCTGGAGAGCAAACTCTAAGATGAAAACATGTAACCAACTGACTCGGCTCCCCTAGCAGTGGCTTGCTGTGGATGGCAGTGTGTATCAACGTGCCTGGCTCTAGAGGGCTTCTGAAGAAGAGAGAGCGAAGGCAGGGGAGAGCGGCTGCCTGGGTCCAGTGTCGGTGCTCAGAGACATGTTAGACTGAGCTCCAGGGAAAGCAGGGGCTGCTAGAGCTTTCCTTCTCTTTCTCTTCTTCTTCTTGTCTCTTTTCTCTTTTGAGCCAGAGCTACTTGCTCTGTAGCCCAGGATGTCCTCTAACCCACCACCCCCTCTGCCTTTACCCTAGGTGTGAGACTTTAGGACTATATTACCGTGCCTGGACTGACACCCTGGCTCCCAGCACTAGCTAGTTAGTTATAAACATTTATTTATGTGTATGTGTGCTCGTGCAAGCATGCCATGGTGAGTGTACAGAGGTCAGGTGACAACTTCCAGGGGCTGGCTCTCTCTTCCACCCTGGGGCTAGTCAGTATCAAATGCAGGTCCTCGGGTTTGGCAGCAAGCATTTTTACCATCTCATCCACCCTTCATTTCTCTTTTCATTCCCAAGAAAATGCCCAGTGCATAATCAACACAAGCAACACTTGCTGAGCCAGTATTCCCTTGCTTCCTGTCAGCAATGGTTGAAAGTTCTAACCCTGCATCTAAGCAGAGAAGAACTAGTATTTCAAAGACATCATAACACCCGAAACAGAAAGATGAGCTCAGGAAATAACTGAGGCACCCAAGCTCCGGACACGACATCATGAGTGCTTACCTTCAATTTCTGAAATCTTCTTCTCTGTCTCCTTCTCCATCACCTTCTGCCCATAGGTGATTTCTGCAACCTGTGCCACTTTTTCTGCCTCTGAGGGAATAAAGCGGAGAAATGATTTAGTGCTGACATGCTAAAAGCTTGGCTACAGAGGTGAGATGGCTCAGTGGGTAAAGGTGCTGCTGCCAAGCCTGCTGATCCAAGTTCAATGCCAGGACCCATGTGGTGGAAGGAGAACTAGTCCCCACAGGTTGTCCACTAGGGTCCACATAAGCACCATGGCATGCACGTGCCCACACACTTACACACAAATAAATGGAAAAACAAAAGACCTCGATTGACTGTACCTGTCCCCTGATCTGAACGCCCTAATACCTGAATGGGTTTGCTCAGATAGAGCCAAGTCCACAGAGGGCAGCTGCAATGGGCACACCTGAGCAAAGACGAATGTCCCCGTGAGCACAGGATCACAGTGTCAGCATCAAACAGTAACCAAAGGAGCTGACTCAGGAGAAAAGCATGCTTTAGGGAAGTCAGGGAGATGACCTGACGTCTCTCCCACGGCAGCCTTTTAAAGAGTAAGTTCTCTCTGACAGTCACTTTAGGAAACAGCTCGGGGTGACTGGGGCTCCAATGTCTTCTCTTATTTGCCACAAGGCCGTGGACACATGGACAAATCACTGAGCTCAGTGAAACAAAGCACGCACCTCACGATGCTGGCTGGGTACAAGCGCTCGCTTGCCAGGCAGTCGGCAACCACCGTCCACAGTGGGAGGAGCATCCTGGAATCTGTTCTCTGACCTCCACAGCTGTGCCATGGCATATGAGCTCCTACTTAAACGCACATCTCCCCAACTTCCACCCACCCCCACAGAATAAAAAATAATAATTAAGAAATCAAATGAACAAGAAATCCAAGCAAATGACAGCCCTTTCCTCTGGAGGTGACGACAAGGGCATTATTTCACACATCAAGTTCTCAGTGAATGGCAGTCGGTCCTTCCATTTCAGAGATACAAATTCAAGACTCAGTATCTGTGTCCACGATCTGGTAATTTCCTCTTGGCTCCTGGGGATATGAACGCCATCCCAGCACACCAGAAGCATTTTGAGGGACTTAACCATGCCCTGGCCTTCCTTACAGCATCCCACCATTCCCAACCCTTCATCCCTGAATGGGGACTAGAGAACCAACACAGACCGATGAGGGCCTTCTTCCGCTCTGTTTCTGCCTCCTTCTCCACCACCTTCTGTTTCTGGGCTGCGATGAGGAGCTTCGTCTTCTCGCTTTCCCTGGAAGGAAAAAGCATGCTGCTGTGAGACTGTGTGGGAGGGCTAGGGGACTCCGTGCTCCCTGCAGGACCTGACTCTGGCTGAGGAGAAGCACGCTCTGTACTCTCCCCTGCAAAGCTTCTCAGTGGCTCGGCCTTTATGCTGATCTGCTGCATACAATCAGACGGCTTTCTTTTGTGTCCCAGCTACTCAGGAAGCTGAGGTAGAAGGACGGCTTAAGCATAGGAGCTTGGGACTAGCCTGGACACTTAACAAGACCCTCTCTCAGAGCAAAATAACAGAAACATAAACGACTTTAATAAAGTAGACCTACTTGTCTGCCCCTGAATCTCCAGTGCTAGGATTCTCTCCCCTTTTCAAAGCACCACTGCTCTCCAGGGCTCTTCTACGGCCCTGAGGGCTGACATGCCCACCCAACCTTCTAGTACAGCACACTAACATGCTAAGGGACAGGAACAAAATCAGAGCTTGTGGCTCTGGGCTGGGCTAGGCTGGACACTCATAGCAGTCAGCTTAGGCCAGGGAATACTCACATCAACTCATAGTTCCTGCGGATTGCCTCAGGTATATTGGGCTTTGTCACTCGTACAGCCTGGAGAAGGGCACAAATAACAACTGATGGAAGATGACAATGGTCAGGAACATGAGCTCCGATGAACTAGCAGAGCTCCCCTTGAGAGAGCACACAGTGTCAAATACAGGTACTCCCCACTGAGGCAATGCTTACCTGGATAACAAGCCCAGGGGCCATGGAGGTTAGGTCCTGTTGCAAAGCCAATTTGAGGTTTTCATCGATTTGGTCTGGAATCAAGAAAGACAAAATGGAACTCTTAAACTGCCTAGGTAGGGAGATAAGAGTGTGGGGAAAGCACCAGCAAAACTGCTAGCTCACTGTCGTCTTTCCAGCACAGTGTACATTCCTAAACCAGAATCCTAAGGTGAGACCCTAGAACAGTCCTCTATGAAAGACAAATACAGCAGTAATCCATGACTCTGGCTTCAAAATAGAGTCCCCTCAATGTTTAAAGCATCAACCATACTTTTCAGGGTCCTAAGCTTAAGAAACAAGAAATAGCTTAAAAACGTCTTGAGAAGCCCTTCTTTTATTTTTTATTTTTTTATTTTTATTTTTTGGTTTTCGGAGACAGGGTTTCTCTGTGTAGCCCTGGCTGTTCTGGAACTCACTCTGTAGACCAGACTGGCCTCGAACTCAGAAATCCACCTGCCTCTGCCTCCCAAGTGCTGGGATTGAAGGCGTGCACCACCACTCCCCGGCAAGAAGCCCTTCTAAAATGGCACCCTGACCTCCTCTGTCAACAGCAAGACTAAAGCTGCCTCTCTGGCCTGGGCTTCCTTTTCCTGCCTTCTACCACCGAGATCTCACTGAGCTGCTGGGAAGAGTCAACAGAAGCAGGCTGGGATAGCTGAGCAGAACCAACACTATTACTGTCAGCTGCCACATGCTTTAGTCAGCTGTGCCCAAGCCGAAGCTTCTGAGAACAGCGAGTCTCCTTCCTTTTCGGGATTTCAAACTGAGGACAGTGGAAGCTAGCTAGCAACCAAATCATGAGCTTTTGGTTTGGGGGTGGGGTGGGGAGTGGCAAAGCAGCAGAACACTTTCTGGTCATGCACAACTCTGGCCCTGGATTCCACCTAGTAACTAACGCACATGAGCACTCGCACACACACACACGCGCACACACACACACACACACACACACACACACACACACACACAGACACACACACAGACACAGACACACAGACACACACACACACACACGCACAGGTGCAGGTGGGGGAAGGGAAGGAACACCTGCTTAATTACTATGTTTTGATTGTTACAATGTTAAAACTATTCTCACCTGCCCTATGTAGGCAAGGACTTGTCATGTCTCTACATGTGAGTATGTTCTCACAAGCCTCTTAGTATTGAGCAAGAGAAAGCATAAAATTAGCACCTCCATCTGATATGGGCTTAAGAGTACAAGAAGAAATAAATACCATGCTGGTTTATTTTTGTCAACATAACACAAATGAGAGACAACTGGGAAAAAGGAACCTCAACTCAAGATCTGCTTCCACCAGACTAACCTGCCAGGCATGTTATAGAGGCATTTCTTGATTATGACAGATAGATGTGGGAGGGCCCAGACCACTGTGAGCATGCCACCCCAAGCACGTGGTCCCGGACTCTATAAAAACCGCACACAGTGAATTGTGAAAAGCAAGCCAGTAAGCAGTACTCTGCACTGCCTCTAGTTTCTGCCTCCAGTTCCTGCTCTGACTTCCCTTAATGACAGATCTTGATGTGGACGTATAAACCCTACCCTTGTGTCCTTACTTCTAAGCAGGGACCCACCACTCTCACCACACTACACTGGCTTCCCTGCACTCAGTGGGAAGACCACTCAATGGCAGGGCGGGTGGGCTGTGGGAGGGGTCTGGCTGCAACAGCTCTCTTGTGTGTTCTTGCTTTGGCCCCAGGAGGGTTTGTCCAAGTCTAGCTGATGTCCCTGGGAGGCCTAGAGACAGGTGGAGAGTAGGTGCAGGGGACAGGGGAAAAGGCATGGGGATGGCAGGAGTGGAGGAAGGAGAAGCTACGGATGTACTGTATGAGAGAAGAAACACCTTTAAAAAGAGTACGTTAGGCTGCATGCCTTGTAAGACTCCTCTAGAAACCACTGCGTTCTGTTTTGGGGCAGTGAGGACATTTCCGTTCCAGTCCACTGTCAAGCCAGCAGTGGCGGCTCTATCCACTCTCACTCCAAGGCGTATGTCTGACTCCTCCAAGGATATTCCCACTGTTCTTAACTTCTTTTCTTTTTTTTTGGGGGGGGGTTATTTATTTAGAAAAAGTCTTACTTTGTAGCCCAGGCTGGCCTTCAACTTGCTTTTCTACTGCTTCAGCTTCCTGAATACTGGGATTACAGGTATAGACAACACACTGGGCTGTTCTTGATACTATCTGGAGCCCTTTTTGTGACGGGCTGCTGTGTCTCCCCCCCCCCCCCCCATTCTGTGGTGTGGTGGCTCAGAAGCAGACAGACGGGGTTGCTGGAGCCTGACTGTCCTCAGGGAGGGGGTGGAGTGGCACCATGCTCTTACCAAACAGCTCGATATAGACTTCCTGAAGTGTGTGAACGCTGCAGAACTGGTTCAGCTCGTGATGGATCTTGTTGAAGATGAGGGCCTTGTCATAGTCTGCAGTATAGTTCTTCACTATGTCATACACTGTGGGCAAGGCGAGGAGGGCTCAGTGTAAGAAAAGCCAAGACTTCAAACTTCTCAGAACGGTCTCAGCGTCTGTACTTCTCAGTTCTTGTGGGGCTCAGACAAATGGTGTGTGCACAGGTGTATGGACAAGCCAGAGGACATACCTGCATTTGGGACCAGGAAGTTCACCACTTCAATTCTGTCAAAGTAGATCATCACACCACCACTATTGGAGAAAGAAGTGACAAAGATGTTACCAGAGAGCTCTGGAATCTGGTGAACTCTCCTAAGGAATGACTTCAGACACATGAGTGAACAATAGGAGGACAGTGTTTGTGCACTATGAGGCAGCTCACATCTCTGAGCAGATGTGCAGAGCTTCTGACCTGCACAAGGAAACAGGAAGACCTTTGCAGTGTCAGGAAAGAAAGGGTAGTTCCTATCTTCTGAGTCACTAGCATCTTCTGACAAAGCAAGTGAGTAGGTTTTCAGAGAGCCCTGGGTGCCTGCAGTCTGCCTCTCATCAGAGCTTCACTTCAGTCTGCCCTGCCTTTCCCTCACACCGTCTCTCCCGGTGGCCACCCGTCTCTGGTCACTTACTTGCTGGGGTTCAGCAGCCTTACTCTGGGTACCTTACCTGGTTCCACATGGTACGTTCTTCACTTCATCGGTTTGGAGCGTGGTCTGGAGACAGAGGAAACATCAACTAATGTACAACAGGCACGGACAAAGAGGCCCACCTACTATTTGGAAGGCCCAAAGCCTGTCCTCCTAACTGATGGCTTGATTAGATTGAGCGTCTCGCTTGCTAAACATGACTGTTTCATCCAGCACTGTGTACAGGCTGCAACTTGAAACCAAGTAAAAGTGCTTACTCTTGTGTCACTGTACGTGAAGCATATATGGACGGGCAGGATCATAAAAAACAAACAAACAAAAACCCCCAAAAAAAACAAAAGACAGTTTGGAGCCCGAAGTGTGATTTTACTAGTGCTGAAGCGGCAGACTCATTTCCCACCAGTTTCAGAATACAGGACCCGCCCAGCATCACCGTGAGACTCAGATGAGCAAAAACTACCCAAAGTCCTGTGGAGTCCACAGAGCAAGGCAAAGGGAAGATGGGTGTTCTGCTGGGTTAATTTAATTTTCTTTCACTCTTTTGTGTTGGGAATTGAGCTCAGGGCCTGGTATAAGCTAGCCTCTATCTCTAAGTGACATCCCCTAGTCCCTTGCTGGGTTGACTTTAAAAGTTATTTTTAAAGTCTGAGTTTTCATAGTTGGATACACTTTTTAAAAATGTATAATTTATTTTTATTTACATTACTGTTTTGTCTGCATGAACAAGAGAATAGGATTAGCTGGAACAGGACTTACAGACATTTGTGAGCTGTGAGCCATCATGTGCCTACTGGGAATTGAACCAGGCTCCTCTGGAAGAACAGACAGTGTTCTTTAACTACTGAGCCATCTCTCCAGCCCCATCTTAGTTGGATATACTTTAGAGATGCTTAGACTACCTGAGTCAGGGGAGGTCAGCTACAGTCTATCTTACTGATTTTACATGGCATCTGTCCTTACCCAACCAAACCTTCCTCCCCATGAAATTATATTTACAGTTTTGAATTTCAAACAAGTACAAGCAAAATTCCATGTTTTATTTACAGCTGTCACGGTAACCTGTGATTTAATATGCACACACATTTGACTTTTCTTCTAAACATTCATTAAAGAAAAATTCTTTAGCGCCACCCCAAAAGTGAGGAAATAATTTCCATTTGGGGTTGATAGCTCAAAGTGAAGCAATGGCTTCATTCAACTATTTCAGTGATCAAGTGATACTATGTAAGACTCTCTGACTCTCTGTCTCCCTGTGTGTGTGTGTGTGTGTGAGAGAGAGAGAGAGACACAGAGAGAGCCTTTAAGTCGGTCACTGAAAAGGTCTAACACCGTGTAACATCTAAGTAACTTCCAGTTGTGTATTAGTCTACAGCCCAAACTGTACTGATCCAGCCACTCCCCACGAGCCGCTCGTACCTGCACAGACTTATAGGAGGTGATGAACGGGAGCATGAGGTGGAAGCCCGGGCCACTGGTGGAGGTCAGCAGGGCACCACCTCTGCAGAGGAGGAGAAAGGCAGGGTCAGTATCCCGAGAGGGCCCTGAGACCAGAGGTTCTCAACCTGTGGGTTCCAACCCGTGTGGTCAAGCAACTCTTTCCCAGGGTTTACACTACAGTTCATAACAGTAGCAAGATGTCAGATATAAAGTAGCAATGAACATAATTGTGTGGTGACTCTATTAAAGGGTCACAGTATTAGGAAGGTTGTGAACCGCTGCCTTAGATCAAGACTTACAGGACCCCCCCATCTCTAGTCCTATAAACATTGAATGTAGAGTGACATGTCTACCCCTTCCCCCCTTCTTCCATGGCAACAGTCTAGGAAGCCTGACGGAAAACAGGAAACCATCAGTCAAACTTTCCCACCAGAGAAGTAAGTACATAGCCTAAGGAAACTAAAGTCAGCAGAATCCCTGGCTACACACTGGGTCAGAGAGAAGTCTGTCAGAGCTGCTGGGCCTGTGGTGGTCACCAGAATGTTCTACCCAGTTTCAACGAGCAGCATTACTGTTAGAGTCCAGTGACATGGACAATTAAAGGAATATTTTTTTGGAGGCAGAGCTAGGGTTGAACCTAGGGCATCACACATTCTAGTACTCTACCATTATGAGTTACACCTTGCTCCTTAAATATACTTTAGCAGGAAGTGACAAGAACTCCATGAGAGAATAGGCAAGTAGAATTTTTTTAATGGAGAAGGATCTTTACAAGTTTCAGTCCAACTTAAAGCAAGAGCGTAGTCCACATGGCTTTACCTCACCAAGTTCCAGAATTATCTGGGGACTGTCATATGATATCTCACCATTTTTAAGACAGAAATCTTGCTACATAGCCCTGATTTGCCTAGTACTTGCTATGTAGCCCAGGCTGACCTAAAACTCATAGTAATCTTCTTGTCCTAGCCCTAACCCAAGTGGTAAGATTACTGGTGTTGAGCCATTATACTTGGTTCAAGAATAATTTTAAAGTCATTTCAATACATATAAAATATATAATATATAATTGACAGATTTCTAATCAAGTTGTATGTGACAAAACTCAAAGTTTCTGGGGAACATGACAGCTGATGGTAGAGATAGATTAACATGAGAGGAAACTCAATAAAGTTCACACGGCTGTGCTGGCTGGTCTGTGTCCACTTGACACAAGCTGGAGTGATCACAGAGAAAGGAGCTTCAGCTGAGGAAATGCCTGCATGAGATCCAGCTGTAAAGCATTTTCTCAATTAGTGATCAAGGGTGGGAGGGCCCAGCCCATTGTGGGTGATGCCATCCCTGGGCTGGTGGTCCTGGGTTCTATAAGAAAGCAAGCTGAGCAACCCAGGGGAAGCAAGCCAGTAAGTAACATCCCTCCACGGCCTCTCCATCAGTTCCTGCTTCCTGACCTGCTTGAGTTCCAGACCTGACTTCCTTTGGTGATGAACAACAATGTGGAAGTGTAAGCTGAATAAACCCTTTCCTCCCCAACTTGCTTCTTGGTCATGACGTTTGTGCAGGAATAGAAACCCTGACTAAGACAATTTCTTTTTTTAATATATGTTTTTAAATTCAGGATCTTGAGTATGTTAGTCAGACGCTTTTCCACAGAGCTACAACTCTAATGATCATTTAGTGCTTGTTACTGGCAGTCCATAAATAAGTATTATGGGGCTCATATAAAAGGGGGGGTCAAGATGACCCCCTTTATTGACACACACCTTTAATCCTAATACCTGGGAAGCAGAGGCACAAAGAGCTGAGTTCAAGTCAGTCTGGTCTACAGCATTCCAGGCAAACCAGAGCTACACAGCGAGACCCTGTCTCAGAGGAGGTGGTGGTGTCATATAGGCTTACAGCAAGGGCTGGGGGTATATTTAGTGGTAGAGCAATTACCCAGCACGCATTAGCCTGTGAGTTTGATCCTCAGCACCACAAACCAAACAATTAGTCACGCAAATTCCCCTTCTAAAGCCTAAAATGAAAACCGTGGTCAGAGAAGTCACTGGAAAGTAACTCAAGATTATTTAGGAGTCACTTCCTCGGAAGCTGCCTCGATACAAATCATCCTGCAAAGCCTTTAAACCTTTTTGAAATATTCACTTTAAAACAGTCTCTCAAGTTAGCAGAGTACACTTCTCAAATTGCCATCAAGAACTGGGACTATGTCAACTTTTGGAAAGGCAACCTTGCAGTGTGGAGGCAAGGCTCTTCAAGGGATGCAAGAGAAAACTATGTCAGAGATGAACTTGAAAGAGTTCAGATTCCTTCAGATTCTGTCTTTAAACCCACAAATCCATATCAACAACACCTTAAAAAACTAAAGACAATTTTAAGTTTACAAATATAGATAACGACACACGTGCACCCTTACTCATGGCCATTGGCTTAAGAGCTGTAAAGGAGCCCCCTGTCTCTGCCTTACCTGTAATATACTCCAATATGTCCCTCTTCTATTTTGTGCACAGCTGAGAAGAGAGACGCACAAAAGAAACTGGAAGCCACCGCCACAACTGCTCCCAACTGAGCCATCAGTGAACCTGTATCCTAGAGATAAGATACGGGACAATGTGTGGTCTGACGGATGGGACGGCCACTGCAGCATCGAGGGTAGCTCATGGAAAGTGATTTCCCAGGCAGCCTGTTATAGTAGATACACACTACTAGCCAGATCTATAACTCACTGTATCCTGTTCTCGGTCAACACTCCGTTCCTTAATAGTGGGAGTATAACTGACGTCGAAGGGAAGGGGCACTAGTTCCAGACACTGCTATACCTAAGGGAGAGTCGGTGTCAGTTGGGCAGGGTTCAAAACACAGCCTTCTCTTCACTCCTCGTTAATGTGTTGTCAACGGAGCCACTTAATACGAGTAAGGAAGAGAGGCAGCTGCAGTGTGTTGGCCCAAATTACAGAGGATGTCAAATGACAGGCAGCTGTGGCTGTGTATTTCTGGTCAGAACCTCCTACTTCTAATTGCCTGCCATTTCGAAGGAAACCACCAGTCATTCCCTTGGGACCCTAGGGAGAGAGAGACAGCAAGCAACTGAGTTCCGACGTAGGATTGATTCTCTGGTCTGTCATCTACCCTGGACAGATCTCTTAATAAAACTGAAACACATTCTCTCTTATACTTTGCTCCCAAGCCCCATGGCTATAGGAAACGGGATGTCTCAGGCTGGAGACTCTGGACTACTCCTGGGGGTGGAGGGTGGGGTGGTGTCCCAAAACGTCCGCCAGAGTTACTTGTAGAAACTCATTTCCTGAACACCGAATGGTCTGGAAAAACTACAGTGAGGGACGGGCGCACCGGCACCGGGCACGGATTCCACCTCTCAGGTCTAACTTATTTTACCGTAGCGGCCTTCAGCTACCAGGCAGCAATAGTGTCCTCTCTGCAAATGTCCTCACTACCACCCCACGACACCTCTTGCCCTTTCCCCGCCCCTCCTCCGCGAGACAGACACGTCTGAGAGCTTCCGCTCGGATCGGCTTAAGGACCCGTGGGCAGAGGACTGGACAGATAGGAGTTCTTTCTGCTCCCAGGAAGGGGGATAGAGCTCCGGAGCTCAGCACGTCAAGCTCCAGCCCCCGAGCCTCAGCGAGGCCGAACGTGCACTGAGGGGCGGGGGCCGCGTACCAGGCTGTCCCTCCAGGCGCTCCGTACACGTCTGAACCCCCCGTGCAACCGTAGAAACCGCCACACCCCTCAGCACGCTACTTCCTTCCGGGCCAGTCGCTTCGATGACGCCATCAGTCCGCGCAAAAAAGACCCCGCCCACACCCCTGGGCTCGTGTGCCCGCCCCGCCCCGTGAGCTGCGAGCCGCAGTGTTCGGCGGTGGCGCCAGGGGGCGCTCGCGAGCCGACCCGGTGGCTGCAGACCTGGGATTGCCGGGCTTTAGGATGCCCAAGGCACAGGTGCCCAGAGTTGGCATAGTGGGCTTCGGACACCACGGCTATGGGATCACCTTCCGAGACTTTGGAGATTGCTAGAGATTCTCCTTCGCTTCACGTCGAGCTGGATTTCTTTTCTTCTTCCGGAGCCGGTACCAGTGCGATGCAGCCTTCTCGCCCTCTGCTTGCTGCTTTCCTGCTGCACCAGCGGGGAGGAAACTTCCAAACGTGCAGATTATGACGTCGCCAGTCAACAGTCCTACTCTGAATTGCTCTTTATACTTTTCTGAGAGCTTTGTTTGGCCTCGAGGTCCCCACAGCAACATAAAGTAATTAACAAGGAATTATTGTCCTGATTTTAATGAACGGATTCTGAATTCTGTGAGTGCTGAGGCCAACAGCAGTTGTTGAAAACTTCCTTAGCATTTTCTTAATAGTTCAGGCTTCCTGTCTTGCCTAGCACATACCACGGTGAGCTTTTGTCCGTCATCTGCACCCCAGGGTATAGCAGACCAGGAGGAAAACACGTCTCCTAGCCTAAAGCCCTCACATGACCTCACCCTGTAGCAGCATGTCATTGGGACATTTCATATTGGACCTTTTCTCCCATTTTGTCCTGGGGATGGAACTTTAGGCTTTGTGGCTGGCTGCACTCTCTCCACAAGCTACTTCCTTAGCAGGAAATTTCTAAACCAGCCACTGAAGTCATTTTGTTTACAGGCCAGGAAGTGCCCGTTTTAACTCCAGCTTTTAGTAAATGAAAAGGCTTTTCCATACAGTAGATGGCCAGTTGTCAATGTTGGACGATTTTAAGACTCAGGAAAAGGAGAGTAAAGGAACCCCTTTGTCTTCTCCCAAAAGCCAAGGCTCTGAAACTGAATTCAAAGTTCCGGGAAGCCAGATGTTTGGGGACAGCAGAAGAAAAGCAGCTGCCCCCAATCTCAGACACTCAGTGACTGCAAAAGCAGACAACAGACCCTGTAGTTTCAAAAACAGCTTGTCTAAGGGAACCGGCAAACTCCCCATTCTGCCTCTAAAGAGCCCCCTTCCACTTCCTGATTCTTAGCTACAAAACCAGAGGGTTGAAGGGTGTCATCTGCATTCTTCTGAACTCTGGTTACTGAGTGACTGGGTCCTGTGCCCTGATCAGAGTGTAGTCCAAACTAGAGAATCTACTTCTCAGGCATTACATAAAGCCTCCTTTAGCTGTTTGAGGTCATCTGAATTCTCAGCTTTTGTTTCTCATTACGAACAGTTCTTACATATTCTTACATGCTGGTACTAGAAACCCTTCTTCACCTCTATCCTATCCCCTATCTCCAGAATCTCAACTTTCTTTCTCTCCCAAGCAACACTCTGTCCTTAGTGATCACTAAGGCTAAATAGCAAGCAGATCAGGTCCCTTACTGGAGACATTACCCAGTCTGGAGCCACAGTTCCTAACAGCCTCATTGATATGTGAGTGGAATGGAGGTTTTAGTTTGGAGTCCTCATTTGTAGAACTGGTAAGCTTTCTTGCTCTTACCCTCTGATGAGACCTCCAGGACAGCCTTTGCTATTTCTGGAGCTACACCCAACATCAGCCATTTCCTTGCTCGGCAGGCATGTGGGTAAAGGGCCCGTTTGTTTGCAGCAGTGTCCTGGGAATCTGACTCTGCTTCAGGAGTCTTTTATTCTTCTCTCTGGAAACGCTTGGGAATTTAATTCCAGTGAAACTTGTGTCTCTGGAGGACATTCCAGAGCAGGAAACTGGTCTTGGCCCATTTTTAGACCAACATGGGCAATAGTGCCTCTGTTCCCAAAGTCAGTTCTTGGCTGGCTTAAAAAATTTTTGTTTTTCAGACAATTGGGCCTCAAGTTAGATGTTGATCTGGCCCTAATATCCCCTTGACAACAAAAACTGTTAGCCTAAACTTGTCATGTTCCAGTCAAACATCTTGAAAGATCTTGACAAAATGCTTGCAATAGGATGACAAATGGTCAGGGGTTCCCCATTCTCTCTCCTTCCCCTATAGGTTCAGGGGGTCAAACTGAGGTTGTCAGGTTTATCCAGCAAGTAGCAAGTTCCCTCCACCCCCAAGCCCTCACCCCCTGGTTTGAAAAAGATTTTATGTGAACTACATCTTATGGAAGGAAAAATGTACCTGATGTTTAGAAAGCTCACGTGGTTTGGAAAAAGATACTCTGATTGAAGATATAACATTTTCAATGTGATGGTGTTTGGAGAAGAAGTCAATGAAATATAAAAAGATATTCTGACAGGGAAAGTTACGTAACACTTTCCTTTGAGGACAGCCTTGCTTTGGAAAGTTCCTGGACCTTCCTCTCAAATTACTCATTTCCCCAGTAAGATACGATTTCTGAAGAAAAGTGGTTTGACTGATTTAAAAACATCAACTAGCAGCACTAGCTGCTCTTGCAGAGGACCCTGGTTTGATTCCCAGCACCCCACATGGCAAGTCACCAATATGTGTAATTCCAGTTTCAGGGGGCTTTGGTGCCCTCTGCTGGCCATCACAGGCACTGCACACACATGGTGCACAGACATGTATAAGACTTGCTTTGTGCTTTAGTTCTTCCCATAGCCCAGCTAGCTCCTCCTCTTTCTGTTCTTCTCTGGTTGCCTGTCTTCCCACAAATGCTACATTTTCTGGGCTTCCATTTCAGCCATTTTCTTTTGGAACTTCTGCTGGTCCTTGGCTCTCTTCTCAGTGGACATCTGAAAAGGACTTGAACTCCCCCCACCCCTTTTTCTAGGGAACAAAGATCTCCTACAAAGGGATGATGGTTGAGCTGGAGAGATGGCTCAGGGGTTAAGAGCACTGACTGCTCTTCCAGAGGTCCTGAGTTCAATTCCCAGCAACCACATGGTGACTCACAACCATCTGCGATAGGGTCTGATGCCCTCTTCTGGTGTGTCTCAAGACAGCAATGGTGAATAAATAATTTTGTTTTTTAAAAAAGAAAGGGATGATGGTGAGCCTTGAGGCAAGCTGCTTCTTTCTGCTGTTTCAACTCTCCCATCGGCCAGTGCGTCATCATCTACTCTGGTGAGCATGCTGTTCTTCTGTGCAAAAGCCAATGGCTTAGACTCAGTAACTAGAGGTCCCTTCTTTAATGGAATCCTCACGACATCTTCCAAGATCTTAGCAGGACAAGATCTGGAATGGAATCCCAAGTGTCCATCCTCTGATTTCTTCTTTGACTCTGACCCCTTCATTCACTTATCAATTTCCAAATCATCACCAACAAGCTCACTAGGTAGTGTCCCAGGCCAGAAGGGCTCATGTTTAAGAAGCCTGAGATCAAGTCCTGGTGCTTTGAGCTTGTATCGTTGCTGTTCCTCGGCTTTCTTCTTTGCTGTGCTTCTGCATGCCCCAAGCCTCGAGCTTGCTGTTTGGTTTGCAGTACGGGAGTCTGGGGATCTCATTCCTGAAATGGCTACTTAGTCCTTCCTGTCCCCATTGATTCCATTAAATTTTCATCTATATGTGCCGAGTAAGATACTGAAAATCTAGGTGCACAGGTAGACCAATGGCAAACGTACTGTGTCCAGTGCACCACCTGCAAGGCTGCCATTTCTGAAAAGCATCTAGGAGCAAGAGTTGGAGCAGAGAAGGAAGACGAGTCAGTGGGTAGTGGGGGCAGGATGGAGAATGAGCGGCTTAAGGAATGTTCTCTACAAGGAGTGGAACCTGGGAAGAAGTCAGGGACCCATACCACCAGGGTAGCTGCCTTTCATCCCCGGAACTGTAACAACATCCTGAGAATAAGGAAGGCAACTTCATGTCTGAACTGCGAACACACCCTCCATTTCCTGACTGAGCAACTAAGGGATGGACTATAATTAAACCTTTCAACCTGTCCAAAGCAGAGAAAAACACACTTGAAGAAGCAGCTTCTGCATGCGTGCCCCTTGCACAGCAGGTCAGAGCCTTCTGAAAAGGAACCCCCAATAGATTCTGAGAAGGAAGAAGTGACCCTGTTATCATCAAGATCTTCTGTGACCAAGATATCCATCAGATCCAACAGATAAGAGTCATTTGGACATCTCTACCCAGAGTAAAAGGAGGACAGATCCTTCAGGTCTGTCTGTGGTCGCTGGACTCCACGCTGAATATCCTGTCCAATATAAATGACTGGGTTCAGTGTTATTAAAAATGCCCTTTCTGACTTAGATGATGTTGGTAAGTTATCATATGCTGTAAAAAATGCTCACTCTGGAGTTGGGGTTGACCCACACACTTCAGATAAAAACACATCTGCCCCCGAGTTACCTCACAGACTAAGTTTTTTTTTGTGTTGTATTTCCCTATATAATTTAGATCCTGCTTTATTTTAATAAGATGATGTCACTTCTCTTATGATGGTCTGTATGTATAGTTTAAAGTTTATTTTGGTACTAATTCAAACAGTGTTATTAATTTTTTTTTTGTGCCCTGATGTTTTGTCTGCATGTATGTCTATGTGAGGGAGTCAGATCCTTGGGAACTTGAGTTACAGACAGTTGTGAGCAGCCATGTGTGTGCTGGTAATCGAACCCAGTCCTCTGGAAGAGCAGTGCTATTAACCACAGAGGTATCTCTCCAGCGCAAAAGAATATTATTTGTCAAGGCTCTAAAATTTTAA